TAGCTAACTCTTACATTAATTTAACCAATTTCTATCAATCTGTATATCACCACATGGCTGTGGCTTACCAGGTGAAGTTCACAGTGTCTGTCTCCAGTGGCTCCATGGCTTCACCCTGACTCTGTCCTTCTTTCTCCCAGCATTCAGTTCTGCCTTCCCTGCCTACCTAAGTTTTGCCCTGCTAAATGTCCAAAGCAGTTTCTTTATTCATTAATGGTAATCACAGCACACAGAGGGAAATCCCATATCCGGATTGGTATGTAGAATGAAAAAAGATTGTTTTATTTCTTAAAAATAATAAAATATTAAAAAGATGCATGGCACTATACTTGACAATTATATTTGATGTAACACAAATTCTTTTTGGTCTTAATAAATAAAAACTCAGAGTCAGATGTTAGGGGGTGAAAGCTGAGAGATCATATAAGCAGTGCATCCAGTCACTAGACTTCTACCAAATCCTTAGACTGACTGTATTTTCAGACTGTTTCAGACTGCTGCCTTGGACTGCATTAAGCTCCTGTCTCCTCCCATCTTATATTCATCTCTCCACCAAGCCATATCACTCTTGTTTCCATCTCCCTAGTGCTGGGATTAAAGGCATGTGACTCCCAAGTACTGGGATTAAATGTGTGAGCCACTGTTTCCTGGCTCTGTTTCTCTTTGAGGCTGGATCAATCTAGTGTAACTCAGGGTGGCTTTGAATTCACAGAGATCTTCCTGCCTCTGTCTCCTGAGTGCTGGTATTAAAGGTGAGTGTCACCACTGCCTGGCCTCTATGACTAACTAGTGGCTTAGCTCTATACTCTGATCTTCAGGCAAACTTTATTTGCTAGATTACAAACAAAATGTTACTACATTTAGATTAATGAAGATACAAATTTTTATGGTAGACTACATTACAACCCTCGTGAGAAAAGACCAGAAATATTGTGTCCCAGTCTACACACTATAGGGATGAAGCAAGAAAGAAAATATGTAAAGGGATGAGGGCCTGACAAGGTACCCAATTGACCAGATATTTGATCTTGGATATTCTGTCCTCCAGGATATAAAGTAGTAAATATTTTTTTGTTGTTAAAGCTACCTAGTCTATGCTATTCTGTTATTAAAATCCAACTAAATCAAACCAATTTTTTATAATAATTGAATGTGTCATGTATAAAACACCTGTCAAGGTAACTGATAAATATTTGGTACTTAATGAATGGCAAGTATAGTAATTTTGTACTGATAATACCACCATCTTCTGAGTTACATGAGAGAAAATGAAATACTCTCATATAACAACAAAAATTTTGCTTTAGAAAGTAAAATTAGGTTCTTCCCTAGGTAACACATGCTGTGTAATTTGAATATTGGGCTTATTCTCCACCTAGCTATACTTCAAATCTCCAAGAGTTTTGTTAAGCATCAAATATTTCAGTGCCTTTCAACTATCTTTCCATTTGCACTTTTTTTCATTCATTTCAATCAACACAAAAATATTCCCTTAGTTTTACCAAAATACATTTAAGATACTCTATCAAGTAAACACACTCAGTACAGTTCTGGGCAAGCCATGTTAACATAACGGTGTCTACATGTCTCACCTTGGCAGGATATTACCATTACCCTTCAGCAATTATCTGGCAATACACCAAGAATGCCTATTTGAGCATTGTATTCTAGTATATAGTGGAACCAAAATATTTCTTATTCTTGTCTATTATAATTTTCCTTTTATTTTAATTTATTCTTCTTTTATATAATACATTCTGAACCCAGCATTCCTTCCCTCCACTCACCCCAGTCACCTCCATCTCCCTTCTTCACCTGAACATGGTATAACAAGATGCAATAAGATGAGGCACAAACGTGCCTATCATGGCAGGACAAGTCACCCCGGTAGAAGGAAGACGTTCCCATGAGCAGACAAAAGACTCAACCTCACTCCCTTTATTAGAATTCCCACAAAACGCCAGGTTAAACAATCACAATATATATGCAGAGGGTCTCACTCAGACCCATGCAGGCTCTATGATTACTATTTCAGCCTCGGAGCCTCGATGAGCCCTACTTTGTTAATTCTCTGGACTGTGTTCTCTTGGTGTCCTTGACCCCTCTGGCTCCTACAATCCTTCCTTCACCTCTTCTGCAGGTTTTCCCAAGATGCATCTAATGTCTGGCTCTGGGTCTCTGCATCTTCCTCATTAGCTGCTGGAGGAAGATTCTCTGATTACAGTTGGGCTAGGCACCAATCTACGAGTACAGCAGAATGTCATTAGGAATCATTCATTTCATTGCCTTTTTTTTTTTTTTGGTCAGTTGTCTTTTTTTCTACGCTAGGTTTCTGAGCCATCGAAGAATTTCCCACTGCACTAGGTTTTCACATTGAGCCCTACATGTCCCCAATTCTAGTTGTCCCTTCCCAACCCCTCCTGATGTCTCCTATTCCTATCCCCACCCACCCCAGGGCAACCCACAAAATCTATTCTATTTCCCCTTCCCAGAAAGATCTATATGCCCCCCAAGAGCCCTCTTTCTTTTTTTATCCTTTCTGAGCAAGACAACCCAGACCCAAAAAGAGAAACATGGTATGTACTCACTTATAACTAAATATTAGCTGTTAAGTAAAGGATAATCATGCTACAATCCACAGGCCCTTTGGAATTTTCATTGTATTCCCTCTCTGCAATGTTCATGGTGCTCAGTATACCAAGCCATTAGGATAATCACACATACAGCGGGACCAGAATGCTCTTATTGGAAGATTTTGGGCACGGAAGAAAAAAATGATGTATACATGAATAGAGACTGACCTATGAACAAAGAGCAAGAAGATGCCACTTAGGTTGATGACAAACTCCCCGCAGGAAATCAAATCTGCTGACATATTAATATTGGACTTCTGGCTTCCAGAATTGTGGAAAAATAAATTTATCCTATTTAAGCCAATGTGGTACTCTCATAGTATCTTATACAAGTTAATAGATTTTCCTGCATACACATTCTTTCTGGATTGTCTCTAACCACAATAATCTTAATAATCATATGTTATAATGACTCATTTCCTCTGTATGTGGATTATGGAGGAATTTCCATAATAGAATTATGTGATACTTAAGCACACAACATTAGATACTATATAGATATGATTAATTAATCACCCACATGTTTATTATAGTCATAGGAGAGTCTTATATAAGTTGAAACAGAGGGCCACTTGTGTTTGCTCACACATGATAAATAACAAGGTCTCTAGAAGTCAGGTTATGCTAAACAAGGAAAAAACATCCTATCCTATGCAATTCCAGTACATGCTTTGATCACTTGAGGTCCTGCTGGCTCCATCAAATGTCAAGGCAGTGTATAACATTAAAGCTTAATTTTACAATCTTTATAATTTTCCATTAAGAAATCTTTCTTCAATATTCTGATATATCATATGGAGGCCTATATACTGTTCATCAGTCTCATAGGCTCATATAACCAATAATGCAGCTTAATTTAAAATTATATCACATTATATTGAGTTGAAGTTTTCAAAATCCAAAGTGCCTTGCCTCAGGAACTTTATGCTCACTTTTATCTATTCTCCTTATTTTGCTGTAATTCCCATTGGACATGGTAATATTTTCCTCATAAGATTTTAATTCCTTGCTTCTGAGATTCTATGGATGAAGTTCGATCTTTTCCTGAGCATCACCACTACTAGAAGAGAACTTCGCAAAGACCAGACACTCAGTTGATATATAAGAACATGAGAGATAACAAGGAGAACTAACTTCTTAATATCAATGTCCTTCTCCCTGTACACTGTGCTCACTTAGTCTTCATTCAAGAGAATCTTTGCTGGCCCAGGCTTTCTTCTTCACATTATTAAAATGTCCTTTTGACTTATAAAACCACAAAATATTATTCATATTAAATTTTAGAGGTCTCAGGAGGTAGCTCAGGTGGTAAGGATACTTGCTGTGTATGCATAAGAACCTGGGATTTTGTGTCCATGTACAAATTTACACATGGTCACATATGGGCCAATTCCCCCAGTTGTATAAAGGCAGATACAGGAGAATCCATAATGCTTTCTGGCCATTGTCTTAGCTCCAGATTCAGTGAGAGACTCTGTATCAAAGTAATAATCTGTAAAATAATGAAGTGGGCTACCCTGTACCCTCCTCTGGATTCATCTTATGTGCATAGGCACATAGTCACACATACTCATGGGCTTATTCCACATACACACACACACACACACACACACACACACACACACCATACACATACCGTCAACCCCTTTTCAACCCCTTCTTCATATTTTTGTCTTGCTCTTTGTAGCTTACATATTATCTCATCCTCTTCCTTATATGTACTTGCTGTCAGGCTATCAATTTTTCTGAGTGACTAGTAGATAATTTTGTGGATCATCTCTAGTACCATTAAGGGAAATTATTTAGAGCAGATGGTTAATTAATGTTCATGTAAAAACAAAGTATTAAAAAGAGTGAAAGGTTTGAATTATTACAATTAATTTCTCATGCAATTGGAGTAATCTTAATTCCAAATTTATTCAAATTAAACAATAAGTAAAGGATAAAATGTACATCAAACTATGATATAAACATTTTAACACACCTTTATTGATACAAAAGTTTTATAAAAATCACTTTTCCAAACATATCCTACCTTATGTTTTTAAAATTATTTATGCTGTACTAAGTTTTTTAAAATCATTAAACTTATCTAAAACTTGACAAATAGCAATAAACATGTCCGATAAAATGTTAAGAAGCATAGACTGTGAGACAATTAATTTTGGTTAATAGAACATTTGCAATATAACAAAGAATAAAATATCTGTAACTTTCTCATCTATAGCAGGACAATAAGATACAAACTTCATTACTTTTAGCTTATAATACTAGCTTATAATATTTTACTACATAGAAGGCTGACAATTCTTCAACAGACTGGAAGACTCTCAAACCCAGCTAGATGTGGGAGGAGCTGTGGGCCTCTCACCTGAGATGGGTTCTGGACTTGACAACACTGCCAGGCAGAATTCTGACTCTCCTTGCTGCTCTATTAACTTCATCAATCAGAGCCTCCGCAAACAGATAAGGAAAGGAAGCAGGAATAGTATCATGCATCTTAGCTACAACCCACAGGACTTGCATCTTGGTGACTTCACGACAGGCTCTGGGACCCCACCTGAACTCAAAGCATGGGGGGTTACTGCCAATAATTTTGCTGTATGAGAGGTAATTTTCCTGTACCAGATCTTTTGTTATGAACTTCCTAGGTTCCTCAAATATTGGATGATTCTGCCCAGGAAATACCCCCACTATTTTCAGGTATTCCCACACATCTTCCTCAGTGGCACTATTGCCAGTTGCGAAGATCATAGCCAGGAGGGTCATCAGGAGCCCTGTCTTGGGCAACCCAATTCTACTACTTAGTCTTCCCTCAGTGGAGAGACCCAACTTGCCCACAAGCATAAAGGACTGAGGACTGGAATCAACTTCCTTCAACTCCAGACCAAAGACAATATCCAGGTGCACAACGATTCTTCTCATGATCTCAGGGAAGTGTTCTTTGTGCTTCTTGTTAATCGCCATCAACATATCTCCCCGTGTAAAGGACTCTTTGACCTTAAACTTCTGTAATATAAACTGCATCAATAAACGTCCCTTCCTGAGAAGAGCATCTCTGCGTGTAGATTCAAAGGTAGAGACTATAATGGAGTTGAATGAACGTCTCTCAGCACTTAAAACTAAAGAGTCAACATTTGTATCAGAAGTCTCACCACCTACAGCACCTGTCAACACTTCCGAATCATCAGAAACAGAAGCTACATCCCCTTGAGTGTCCTGGGGAATGTTGGTATCAGGGGAGCTGGGAAGATTCCCTTGATCAATAGAAGATGTTGCCTCCTCCTCTGCAGTGGGCTCAGGATCAGGCAGACTTTGACTCTTCTCCTGTATGTTTTGACGTTTAGCACGAGAGCGGCCCTTACTCTTGTGGCCCCTAGGCATAATGACTTGGTTCAAGCACAGCAGGGTAAGGATGCAGGCAGGAGGACTGGCAAAGCATAAATCTGAAGGGGCAAAATGACACTGTGTGAGCACCATGCCTTCACTATATTAGAGAGTACCTTTCCTTTAACAAGGTCCCCGCTATGCTGCTTTCCAAAACAAGTTTCTGAGAACTCACCGTGCTCCTATTATCCCAGTCAATCTGTGTCCTGAGAAATCTGTGGAGGAAATAAATTCTGGTTAGATGACTGCATGATGACAAGGTTTGAGACATCCTGGGGTAAGAGTATGGGCTAACATTGATCCTCATTTGCTAAAAGGTTTTTGGTGCAGTCTGAATACCTACACATACATCCCTTTGCTGTTCTGTTAACACTGCAGTGCTTCCTAGTATCATACAGAAGAAAATTTAAGAAGACATATCACCCCTACCACTCATTCAGGAGCAAATACAGATTACTAGTGTGGGCAAAGAGGGAGATATTTGTGGATCCCTGCTGTTATCAGGAATGTAGTTGCCACTGTGAGCAATAGCCTCGCTATGAGCCTACACCATCCCATAGTGACAGACTCTCCTCAGAATAAATATTTCATTTCCCTCTTTTCCCAATGACAAATATCAAGGGCAACTCAATTGAACATGAACAGTCCACCATAGAGGTGCACAGTTCTGCATGCCACCCTGCCCAACCCAGATTTAAATACCCCTTAATTTTCATGACTTTATTGTAATTAGGCTACAGCGTTCTCTTCTCTGGATTCTTCAGTTTTCCAGGTAGAATTTTATTCCTGAGAAGAGCAAGGGAAATCAATTGCCACTGAGCCTAACTGCCTGCTATGTCTGAGGATTCTGAAGACCAGAGCAGAGGCAGGGCCTTTGTGGCCTCCTTTTCAGGTGGATTATAGTTTGGAGGATTTACAGTGGATTTCACTTTGCCACATTTTTAATTCTGATTATCCTTTAAGGCATCTGGCACCAGTTAACAACACATGGGACAGGAGGCCATACTTCTCAGACCAAGCAAGGCCTTACTGCCTCAGGAAGGGAAGGAAGTCAAGGTCTCACAATTCCACCCTTACCCCTTTAATGTGCATCTATATGGTCCCATGAATAGAACCCCAAAGTTGAAAATATGCTAGCCCTCTCTCTTGTTCCAGGGAAGAGAATTGCCAGACAACTCAAGGAAATTGTTTTATTTTGCCTGGGTAGGGTTGTACCCCTCTTGAGATGAGCCAATGTGTCCCAGACAAAAGATCTCCCTTCCTTTAAAATTATTTCTTTGAACATTTCAGATAGTATTGTTTGATCATATTTTACCTGCTCTCCCAGCTCCTCCCAAATGAATCCCTTCTTCCCTATTGACACAACTCCATGTCCTCTCCTTTTAACCCACCCATCAAACTCAGTTTCACTGCTCTTGTATTCTTGGATGTATGGACTTCCATTGGAGCATGGAAGACTTGCCAGGGCCAACCCTCTTAAAGAAGATAGATTCTCTCTCTCTCCCAGTAGCTATCAATTATCAAAAGTGCCCCCGCTAAGGGTGAGAATTCATCTTTACCTTCTGTCTTCTTGCTAGAATTTGGTCTGGCTCAAACTTGCATAGTGCTTGTTCATGCTTTCATAATCTCCATGAGTTTATATTCCAGCTCCTATAAGGAGTGAGATGGAGCAGTTTTGATTATGGATAGTGCTCTTTGTAGGTCTAGTTTATCTTGTGGTTAGGATGCTGAATCATCCCAGCATTGGGTCTCTTTACCTTATTCCTGTGTGAGCCTCTTTTCAGGATGTGCGAGACGGCAGTTTTCAGAAGGCGTTAAAGAGGGTTCACATATTTCTCCTTTTATACACCTACTCACCTGACAACACTTAGGATGCTTGATTCAGCTGAACGGAGCCCACACCAGTAATACTGAAGGTATAATGCTGAAGTTAGGGTCTTCGATTTCCAGGATTATAGTAGACCTGTTTTTTGGAACAGAAACCATGGAGCTTTGTCAGTCCTGTTTTGATCCTGAAGGTGAGAGTTTCCTAATATCTCACAATAATAATTGACTAATCATTTGCTCAAAGCCTTTTCCATCTTCTGAAGTGAGTCTAAAGACCTCAAATCAGTGATCTTCCTTCCCTGTGAGTTCTAAGTAGGAAGTAAGGTGGAGTTTTATCAAGAACTGTGACTACAACTCTGCTTGTCTCTTCTTTTGGGGATGACACCCTCAAACTGAACTGTTGTAAGGTGACTTCATTTGCGCACTACATTTTGGGCTTCAAAGACCTAACAGTTTCTGGCAGTTGCTGGTACACAGATGAATTGAGGGAGGTTTTTGAGGTCTTCTGTATTTTGTGTTTTGAAGTCCCTCTGTTTTAACTTATATTGTCAGGCTGACTGCTGACAGAGCCTGGTATTCCTGATTTTAATCATCCTCCCTTAAACCATGGCATACAAAATTCCAAGAAGAAAAACAAGGATCCTGAAAGTTGAGGCTGAAGTCTTCCTTCACTTACATCATGGGCATTTCCAAAGGTTTCAGGAATGAATTCATACCCTTGTTACATGATTCACTTTTATTTTCCCTATTCCATTTTAGTTCATCCTTTGTAATCTATGAAGGTGAGAGTAATAGGATCACATTGAATTCTCATTTTGTGTTCCAGCTACTGATGAGCTGTCAGGTGGTGGCTATTAGGATTTCTGGATGTACTGACTAGGCCAACTCAAATGTTTATCCTGTCCTGTTTCCACGGGCTCCTCTAAGTAGTACTTTACACACCATCAGTAGTATAGTAGGGCTTTTCTCCTCCAAGGTACAATGGAAAAGAGACAAGGCTGAACTTCAAATTATTCTTCTACTTGAGCCCTATCTCCATCTGTCGTATATTAAACGTTACATAATTGTTTCTGCTCCAGAACTTCCCATCACACAGGAACCAAGTCAAAAGACTCTGAGTGCCTCAGGGCTCTCTCATTTTGTTACACTATGTGATGTTAATTATTTATTCCTTTAAAATTTTTGTGTGTTTAGTTTTGGGCATTGGAAACAGCAGTCATATCTTGATCGATATCTTGGAAGCCATTGATAAGAAACTGTACCTGCAAATTTTGGAAGTCATACCTTCACAACAGACTTTCTCTTGAATACACGTAGGCTGTTGGGCTTACTCCTTTAAGTTTATGAGTAAATTTTTATTTTTACTGTCAACAGGATCTTGTAAATTCTTGCAAGGTTTCATTTTAATTTCAGCTTAGATTCTGTTAAGTCAAGAATGGCATATTTTCTGTAATATGTTCTAATTAGTTGTTTTCTAATTAGCAAGTTTCAGTATCTCTTCTTAGGGTCAGGCAGGTCACCTTTGCCACAATGTTGTTTAGCAGTTTGGTAAAGAAGAATTTAGTTAGATGTTGTGCTATCTTCAGTGTTTAAAGTTGGGACTTAATCTTTGTTCAAGGGCCAGTCATTATACAGAAGATGAACACAGAAGTGTGGTTTGAGAAAGATAAGAGGGAGGTGGACTTGAGTTTTTGTTGATGGAGGTAGTTGGTATGGGGTTAAGGTTTCATTTTAGATATTACTACAGTCAAGCATGGTACGTTTTCGGGGGCTGGAGAGATGGCTCAGTGGTTAAGAGCACTGACTGCTCTTCCAGAGGACCCAGGTTCAATTCCCAGCACTCACATGACAGCTCACAACTGTCTGAAGATCCAGTTGCAGGGAATCTGACACTTCACACCAATGCAATTTAACCAAAGTTAAATAAATCATAAAAATATTAAAAAAGAAGAATGGTACATTTTCTGTAATGTGTTCTAATTCCTTATTTTTACACTAGTTAATAGACAAAAACAAACTGTCTGTTATTAATATTAGTTAACATTGGAATGCAACAGGAGCCATCAGGCTGAGTAGCTGCTGCTATGGTAGCCTGTGTCTGCCCAATTCACCAGTTCACTGCTCTGGATATATAGATAGAGCCATTTCTGGGCACCTTCCATAGAAGGTACAGGGTATGATATTCCTGAGAATGTTGCTAAAATCTCCAAGCCTCAATCTCGGTGTGCCCTATCATGCATGGTCCTTGAGGTTGAGATGCAGGTTGTACTGTTTAGTTCTCAGACCACTAGAAAGACATACCAAGTTGAGGCAGGACCAATCCTCTCAGAAAGGCCCTGCTCCCTCTGCGGACTGAATGGGGGTGATATGTAGGGGAAGAGGTGTGGGACAAGGGGAGGAAAGTGGAACTGGAATTGGTATGTAAAATGAAAATAAATAAAACTGAAAAGAAAAAAAAGAAAGACTATGCTCACCTCTGCTTAATTTGGCTTGCTGCTGAGCGTTGTTTGTTTGGGCTCCATAGGTCTTGTAGTGCTCAACAAGAAAATCTCTTGTGTGTATAACAATTTGGTCCCCACAAACTCTCAGCTCTCACCTTTGAAAGCTCTAGATTACTCTTCCTACATAACAGTTAGATTCCATCTAGATTCTCCTCAACCGTGGTACATGAGCTGGCCCACTGAAGCTGAAGTGCATACTCATTTTGGTTTTACATAAGTATTCTTACCCCATACATACACATTACACAGCAACTTGGAATTTTGATATGTAGGCAATAGATAAGGCTATAATGGTTTGCTAGGCAATGCTAGTTTCAATTTCTATTTATTTATATATTTACATATGTCTGAATATACTACATATAACAATGTCATATATATATCTATATCGTGAATGATCTTATATCTTGCTGTATTTGAATGAGTTTATATTAAATGCAAATAACAATACTTTAATATTTTAATTATAGGATTGTATTAATACTCTTATTTCTGTTTATTTTTCACATGTATTTCATTTATGTATGATTTTCATATGCTTTACCATACTTTATTAAGTGTCTTTATAAGATTTCACATTTACATGTTGATGATTCTGCGATGTGAACATTCACCTGAAAGAGCAATAAGTACGCTTCTCCACTGAGCCATCTCTCCAGTCCTAGTATGCATTCCTTTTATTTAACTAGTAACATAGTTTT